AAGGAGAGCTGGAAACATCGATCTCGACGTCCGTCTGATCGCAGACTTCCGTGACAAGAAATCCCCTGCACCCTCCACCGCCACGGAGCTCATGGAGGTTGTCAAACGTACGGTGGAACTCATCGGTGACACCGGTGTCCCCTACGAACTTCGCCTTACTCCTATCTCTCGATTCATGGGAGACACAGTTAACGGTCTTTTCCGCGAGTTGGCAGCGGCTGACATGTCTAAAATCACTGAGTTCTACGACGATCTCGTGACCTTGAGCCAGAATCGCACCTCTCTCCGCACCACTTTTGAGCAGAACCATACTCTTCTCTTCCCAACCTTTGTCAAGACTTGCCGCGCTCGGTCGTCCGAGGTCGACCGTCTGCTGGGTGAAGCACGCGAAAAGCTCAAGGGTTTCCTCACGAAGTTCCGTGAAAACGACTCGAGTGTGAACGTCGAGGCCTTCCTCAAGGAAGCGGCGCCAGGCTATGAGAACGAGTTGAAACTTTACAACGCGGATCGCGCTGTTGCCGCAAAACTGCTGGATATCAAGAGGGGTGCTGATGACCGAAAGTTTCCGCTTGTCTCGGTGGAGAAGCTTCGGGAAGAGATGAACAGGATTGACAGAGCAACCGTTGCTCTTGTCCTGGTCCCTGCTGACGTCCAGGTCGTCAGCCTGCTCAACACCTATCGAGTTTTGGCCGACGATATCCAAGCCTGGCGTTCCTCTCAGGATGCTGTACAGCCGTCGTCCAGCCCCAACACGCCAGCCCCGACTGTCTACTTCTCCGTCTACATTGACCCGTTGGTGGAGAGTGACCTTCTCATCCTAGATGGCGCCAAGAAGTCCCTTGCTTACGCCATCAGCACAGCCAACACTACAAAGGAAACCGTTTTCCTCACATTTGGTGTTTCCCGCCTCAATGTTCGAACCCTTGACTGGAATGCGCTCGGCCAAGAAGGGTGGGGTATTCTGTCTAACGAAGGTCAAGGTTGGAAGTATGTTGGTGACGTCCAGGGCGGCCGCCGCAACGGCTCTGGCGTAATCTCCTATGCAGATGGTACATCGTATGCAGGAGGTTGGTTCAACGACGAGCGGGACGGCTTTGGGAAATTGACGAAGACCAGGGAGGGCGGCGCAGTCATCGAAGAGGGTGTCTACATCGAGAACGTGTTGAGGTCCGACGGCGTCGTTGTTGATACCACCGTCGTCAACAATGGTTCTGTTGTTGGGTTTGCGAAGATCGCCTTGAGGTCTTATGATTCCGTTTCTGGCCACGTTGACAAGATAGCACGAGTTCTTGGATGGAAGTCCGGCCAGAAGTATAGGCTTAAGTTGGAGTCCACCTCTGGCGCCTTCACTGCTCAGACCGTGTTGGTCAACGGTCCGTTGATCGACGCCTCTGAGCACCCCAGCATTGAGACCTCTGCATGGCCTCTGGACAAGGGCGCAAAAGGAGAGCTCAAGATCAAAGTTGAAAAGTTGTAAAGCTTCTGTATTGTACTTTGTACCAGTATCATTCGCAAATGTAACCCGAGAATCCGTCATGTTCTTTACTTTCAACATGACTGTAGAAACGAAACAGTGACGGTTTACCAATCCGTTTTCTATTATAAGTCGCAGCCAGATGCGTCTACTATTTGCAAGGACATCTTCACTTGTGAGTCGTTTCGAAAGCTCCCGATCCGAATTTTACTGATAATCCCAAACTACGTCAAGGTGAAGGCTAGAACGTCGATAGCATCAGGGAACGCAATGAATGCTCGTATGCAATGAAAGGCAAGCTTGCAAACAGCAGGGCGCAAACCGTTGGAAGTAGTGGTGCCAGCAATGAACTCGTTGGACATTGTCGGGAAAAGCCATCTGCGAACGGGATTTGGCAAGCTCGTCCAATATAACGGCCTTTTTAGGCTATTTGACAATCCAGATGCGAAAGGTATCTGGAGCTTATGGATACCGATTTATAAGATCGGCAATGTGCTCCGGGTGGTCGAACGATTTCAGGCTTGCGGGAGTGGTGGAGATATGAGTTGACGAGGAGAGTAAGGAGAAGAGTCATAGGCGCGGGTGGGTGATATAAATGGACAACTGGAAGAGTGGGATATTGCTGGTGTCTCTTGGCTTACAAGTCTGGGTAGAGAAGACGCGAGTGTGGAACTTGGGACTGAACAAGCATCCCATCCACTCTCGCAGACCAATGTGGCAAACACAGCCTAATATTGATGTGTAGAGAGAAAGACGGGGACAGTTCATCTTTCGGCCACATCACAGCGGCCGCCGGCAGTGAGGTCAACAAGAAAGGCAGGGCGAACTTGTATGTAGGAAGGGTCCAAAAGAACGCCGCCAGGTGACCAGGGCAAGTGACTTGAAGACGATGAGAAATTCTTGTTCCAATCACCCATGACGTGCCCTGGAACATACAGGGGAGGCGGAGTGAGTTGTCTATCATCCCAGAAGATCGTCTAGGAAATCTTGCATGTCGGCCTTCGCATCCTTAGGTTGCGCGTCCGCTGACGGTAAAGCTGGCGCGTCAATATACTTCGGTTCTGATTGAACGGCATGAGCGAGACGAAAAGGAATCGACGATGTTGTATTCACAGACCTGCCGAGCGATCCTTGGGAATCATAGTTGGTTTTCCGCGCATTTTCTCCGATTTTGCGCGTAATCGACTTTTCAGGTCTACGAAGGTATGACCATAGTGAGCACCCCGCTGAATGGAAAGAAATACGAAAAGTACCTCGGGCGGCTTCAGCCGCAGCTTTCTCCTGGCTCATCTTATCGAGCTCATCGTCCCAAACAATCTGTTCCACCTTTCCTTTCCTCGAAGCGCCAGATCCTAGTGAAAGTGGCTTCGACGATATGTGCGCCAAGCTTGTGTCGACATCGTCATCGTCTCGATCATTCTCCTCCAACCCTGGTGCGAGCAATGAGGCATCTGCAAGTCGCTGCTTTTCCATGAAACGAGACAGGTCCACTTCTGGCTCGATGATGGGTTCACCTATTTACCAAGGAGAGCACGTTCAGAAGGGACTTTCCGGTAGACTGAGAAATCACGCACCATCGGAATCCAGCTCTGGTTCAGGCTCTGCGTACCGATCCGCGTTTGTGCCAAGCTGCCTCCTGGAGTACTTCGCCGCTCGTTCTGCAGCACTTTCATCATCCTCATCCTCATCCTGCGGCCCTTCTCCCTCCAATAACAAGCGCTTGGAGAACTCTGCTGGACGACCAAAGCCGCGGCTCCTTCCTCTAGCTCTTAAGTACTTTCCGAGGCCACCTCGATTACTTCGCCCCCTCCCTCTGCCCCGTCCCCTAGCCGGCGTTTCTAAGGACGTCGAGCTTGAGGCCGCGTCCGACATTGTCGATAACTTGAAGGGGTTTGTTTATCGCAATCACATTTGCCAAATACTCGGCTAAAACAAGTCACCAAAAAGTGAGTTGCCGAAATCAAGCCCAAATGCCTATCAAACATTTAGAAAATAATCTAGGTTTCTAGACCTTATGTATGGGAAACCATCTATTCTTGTCCCCAAGATATCAAATTACTAGATGACTTTCTTTGTCCGCAACTGTCCGCTGCTTCAAAATCACCCGCCCATACCTATAAAAGTTACTGCTTGCTGGAGTCCCAAAGCCCCGTGAATCCTTGAGGTGGGGTATGGAGGGTTCATCGACAAATGCGAGAGGTCGCACCGAACTTGATTGACAAGACGAACATTCCCCCTCATTCTCCCGGTCCTGACAACTTCACGTTGGCTATTACGTTGTGCAGTGTTCCTGCGAAACCACTGTGTGTATCAAGATGGGTGCAGAATGGCATTCCGGCTGTGACTTCGCTGCGGTGGAGTGCGAGAACAAGGCGGTCGCGCTTTCCCGCGAAACAGATGGGCACCGAGCAAGTTTTTGATAAGGGTTCTGTGAAGGGATGCCTGGAACCAACGGAGGGGCCGTCGCTCTTGTCCTTGTTCTCGTCATCCACGTTTCTGGTCTGTCCAGCGCGCATCTGGTACCTTTTACGGGAACGTATTTCATCGAGAGATGTCTGGCACCACCTCTGCGCCAATGCTACCTCTTGTTATGGGGGTTGGTGGAAAACAGAAGGGACTGGCTGGGAGTGGCCATTACATAATGACGTGGGCGGGGAAGTCATTGAAGATGGTACGCATGTTGAAAATCTAGGGTTGGAGGGAGTTCCTCAGCGACGCCTTGAAACATGGTTCTCTCATTGGTTGTGAAGCCCACGTTGACATCGCGAACTCTTGAATGAAGTCGGACCAGGCGTTGTAAAGTATACATAGTACATTGACATTGCGATAACCCACAACCTCAAGCAGGTATGCAGCGATATTCTAATTACATTCCAAGTCAGTGTGTTGCAAGAGTGACGGTGTCAACTAAGTAGTACGTGCATGTCGAAGCTTGATGATAACAAAGAATTCCACCCATAGCCTGCAATCATTATCTTGCCAGTCTTCAAACCGGATCATCCAGCGTGGTTGGAAATCTTTTGCTTAGCCGCAACTGCCGCCTGCTCAAGTAAGGCCAGCTTTGTCTTGAGTTGTTCCAAGCTTGCCTGGATCTGTTTGATAGTCTCGGCGTCGCCGCCCTTGGCGAGGGTACTCTGAAGGTGCACCTCGAGAAGCTTGACGGACTTCTTGAGCTGAACTGCGAAGCTCCCAGAAAGAGAAAGCTCAGAGTACCGCTCAGCGAGCGTGCCAATGTTTGAGGTTGACCATGCTATCTCTGCAGTGATCTGGTCGATGTCCCGCTGGATAGCCGAAATTTGTACTTCTGTCATATTTAGCTGCCAGATTGCTTCGTCGTAGCGCTTCTGGGCCTCCGGGACGCCAAGAATGTTCTCGTACGCCTTCGCAGTCTGGGAACGACTCAATCATTGAGATGCAACAAAGAGTGGATTCAACACACCAATCTGATAGCCTCTAATGATGAGATTGAGTTCTGAAGCTTATTCCTCTTCTCTGAAACTTGGCTCATTCGAGCCAGAATTGTGGAGGTGTCGCTCTCGATCTTCATGTACTGATCGTAGAGCAAGATGATCTCTGCAGTAGGTTCAGGCTGCACGGTATCCAGCCAATTGAACATATTGACCAGCGCCTTCAACGCGGTTCGATGGCTTTGGTTGACTGCCTTCTCCAATTCTTCCAAAAGCTCAAGATCCTCCTGCTGGGCGACCGCCAAGTACTTCTTGCGCATGGCGATGGGATTTTCGAGCAGAAACCGTTTGGTATGCCTGAGCTCGACGGGAAGGATATCGGGGTCGAAGGACCAAGCAAGAGGAGTCGAAACATGGGTGAAGAAAATAGAGATATTATTCTGTTGGTTAAACCTAGGGTTAGGCGATAATCTACTAACAAGGGAAAAGGGCTTACAGCAAGGCTGCGAGGAAGGATGGAGGTGAGGGTACTTATGGCGTAGTCACTTGTACAGCCCAGGCGCGGCGTTGTACCGTTTGCGACGATAATGACTGCCGTAACCTCTGAAATGTGATCCCGAATGGCAGTAACAATGCTGTCCTTATGTTGCTTGTCCCTCTGAAGCCCGCGTGTGTCGGCGAAGCCAGGGGTATCAAGCACGGCAATCTTTACTCCATTCAGGCTGTAGAATTCGTAAAGTTTGGCATGGATGGTTTGTGTCTGAGTGTCCGATACGCCCATCTCGTTCTTAAGATCGTAAGGCTGCAAATCATACTCGGCGAGTGAGCGGCCTGCAAGCACGTTTATGAGGAGAGCCAGCAGGCTGGTCCTCCCGGTACCAGTCTCGCCTGATTTAAAACGGATAGTTACTTGGTTTTCGAAAAACTGGTCGAAAGAACGACTCACCAACAAGTAAAATGGTAATGCTTTTCTTACCCCTGGTAAAGTTGACGATACCCTTGGCTAGAAGCTCGACGGTGCTATGAAATAGCAAGGTCAGATAAATAGTGACGGCTGAACGGCAATACTTACTTCGCAGGCGCGCTCATGGTGTATACAGGCGTTGTAAGAAATATGGACCTCGCAAGCTTTATGAAGGCCCTTATATATCTCCGACGAGAACATCAGGCACCAGCCTTGAAAACTACAATGTCCCTGGTTTGAAGGACAGTCGTCATCTGTCCACTGGCAGGCTCCACGTTTTTTTTGCCTTCCTTCGAACAATCTTGAACCCTCAACGAGCCTGCATATTGCATATGGAAGTAGGAGTTACTTGAGTACCGATTGCCCCCTGAAGGAAAATATGGAAGTAGGAGTTCCTTAGTACCGACTGCCCCCTGAAGGAAAGTGATCTCCAGCACCTTGACTGATTGTAATGACCATTCCCAGGCTTGAGTTTGACGCGATGATGGTCCTTGCAGCCTGCTGCGCAAGCTTTACAATCGGCTGGGTCAAGGACCTTCAGATGTGGCCGAGATGACTTGACAGCTCGACATGAGGATCAACACTTGACTGACACGAGGAAGGAGGAAGGAGGAATGGGAGGGAGGTATTGGACCAAGTTGGTGGAGCCTGTGTAGTGCCAGCTTGGTGGTGGTGGTAGAAGATCAAAACGTCTGATCCAATTTTACCCAACCTCCAACAACCCGCTCGACCTCCCTCAATAACCTTCAAGGAGAGAGTATACCGATCGTCGAAACGCATCCAAATTGCAGGTTGGATTAGCCTGAAGGACGCGCCATTACACTGCTACTCTTGTTATCATTGATTCCAGGAACAATATGCATACCATCGACACCGAGGAAAACCAGTAGTAATAGTATCAACAGATGAACTTAGTTTTGGGGAATAGGTAAAAGAAACGGGAGGCATCGGGGAAAATCACAAGACAGGAGTGAAAGTATAGAAGCACATACAACCGAGGGAGAGGGTTGAAATTAAGAAAGGTTGTGGTGCAAAGGCCAAGTATGTACAGTCGTATAACATGTGGTAGCAGATGTGGAGAAGAAGCAAGAGGGCGGCGGATAGGTAGGAGGGGAAAGAAACATTTCGCGTAAGTCTGTCAAAGCACAAACATACATACCAGAATGTCCCCGTTATGACTAGAGATACATCGGAATCCAAAAAAAAACATAGGCGACGAATCATGTTCATGACCCCTGCTTGGTCTTAAACCGGAGCAGAGGTGCAAGGCCTGAGAGGGCACAGGCCTTCTTGAGGAATTCGTGCTATTACACCATGGTCATCAGCCGAAATTCTTCATCGATAGGTAGATCCCTCACCTCAAGAAGCTCGTTAGCAGTCGCCCTACTCGCGACATCAACACACAAACAAACGGCCAAGAAGCCCTTCAGCTCCCTGCTCAGCGCCTCCGGCTTCTTCAGCGTTGGGGTCCCGTTGGTTGCAATCAAATACAGTGCCTTCAAAGGCTCTTCATCCAGATAAGGCGGCTCATTTTCGATCATCTCGATCGCCATGATACCCAGGGACCAGATATCCACCTTCGCGCCATACTCTTTCTGTTTGACGACCTCAGGTGCCATCCAGTACGGCGTACCAACCATAGTCGCTCGTTTGGACTTCTGGTCCGTGAGTTTGGCGCAGAAGCCGAAATCAGCTGGAGGTGGGGTCAGCTGCGAAGTCAAAATGGCCGAAAGACTGAAATCGTACTGATTTTGACTCGGCCTTGGGCATCCAGAAGGACGTTATCCGATTTAATGTCACGATGGATGATGCTCTGGCTGTGCAGGTGACCCAGTCCCTTGCACGTCTATCGAGAAAGGGCAAATTAGCACTGCAAGGGAAAAGACAATAAGAACGGTTACCTCGAAGCAGATGCTCGAGATTTGGTCCTCCTCTAATGAATTGTTCTCAATGATATCTGTCAGAGCGCCTCCTTCCATGTACTCCATAACCACCCAAAGCTCGTTGTTCTTCACCAGGTATGATTCCAAAAAGTTCACAATGTTCGGATGCTGGGACTCTTTCATCACCAAAATCTCATTCACGATGAGCTCCTTTCGCGGCTGATGCGAAAGATCCATCTCCTTGATCGCCACCTTCTTTCCCGTCGCCAATGTCTTCGCCACATACACATGTCCCGAAGCCCTATACAAAATAGTTGACAATCATCAGCCTCCCATTGAACGAAAAGAGAGAGAACAAGGAAGGAAGCATGAGGATCACCCACCCTTGTCCAACTTTCTTGATCTTGCTATAGATTAACTTCGGATCGTCATCACACACCACCTGCCTAAGCTTCTCCATGATCTGAACCTCCGTCATCGTGCTGATCCTCTTCTCCTTCTCTTTGGGCTTCTCCAGCGCGGCAGCAGCAGCAGCCACACCCCCCGCGGGTGCGGGCTTCGGCGGCTTCTCCTGCGCCTGAATCTGCACCTTCTTGGGCTGTAAGGGCATCACGGGCGGTGGGCCTTCCAGAGCACCAGCCGGTCCGCTCGCAGGCTGCGTAGCAGGGTTGGTATTGGCTGGCGATGATTTGGACGGGGCGCCCAGCGTCGGCCGAGGCTGTTGCTGCTCTTGCTGCTTGTAGGGTGAAGGCTGACGCGGCTGCGACTGTGATTCCTGCCGTTGTTGCTGCTCGTCTTGCTGCCGTTGCCATTGATCTTGTTGCCTCTGCTCCTCTTGTCGTTGTTGCTTCTGCTCAATCTGCCGTTGTTGTTGTTGTTCTCGTTCCCTCTCCCGTTGCTCTTGCTGTCGCTCTTGCTGCCGGGTCTGGGCTTGTTGCAAAGTTGTCTGGGCGGGTGTGCTTTCTTTCCTCAGAGGTACAAGGTTGGTCGATCCCGGCGGCCCAGTGGCCTTGAGACGGGAACGAAGGTCATCAGAGGAAGGAGTGACATCATTCTTAGCAGTTGGTGGCTGGGGTGGGGGTCTGGTGGCGGATACCAAAGGTCGTGGAGGGGCAACGCGGGATGATTGAGGAACGTTGGACGAGAATTGTTGAGGTGCTCGAGGACCTTGAACAGATGAGACAGCACTGGCGACGTGAGCACCATTGACGAGCTCAGCAGCTCGGGCCGCAGCAGTGGAGAGGTTGTTTGTGTCAGAGCCTAAGCCAGGAGGAGACGTTTCCTGCCGTTTGACGAGTGGCCTATCCACCACGCCGTTGGGAATCGGACTGATCTTACTCATTCCGCCCAAACCCGTACCGGCGTTGAACCGGGCAGGCGCGCCTGTCACCTGTCAAAAGCCTGAAACACCATCCGACAAATCGGACAACTCACCCATGGACATGTCCTCCAATTCCCGTTTTTGGTGATCTGTGTAAAATTCAAGGACGTCGAGGACGGCTTGGGGATCTTTTGCGTAGTCTTCCCGTGTGATAGCCGACTTTGTCAGAAGTTTGCTCCATTGCTCGGGCAGGCCCTATCTCCCGTGTCACTGTATTGCCTTTGCGAGCAGACAAATGAACACACCGTGAAAGCGCCAGAAACAGGGTCAAAACCCACATGCACCTTGTGCACAAAGTTTGTTGGGTTGCTCACACCCATGAGTGGGCTTCGTGAATACACGTCGTCCTGCCACCCGTACAACTCTTCGTCGTTTTTGAGTGAAAGAAAGTACCGCTTGTCTTTGGTCTCTAGTAGTAGACAATAGGGCTTCAGGTCGGTACGCTCAATGTTGGAGATGTCCCTTAGCATGATCACAGATTGCGAAGGAGCCGACTGCATTACCCGCCATCAATCAGCAGTAGACAGGGACAAAGGTTAGCACTTACCTCGCTCTTATGAATCGCCAAAGATAGCTCCTTAAGAACCAGCCATTTCCGTTGCCATAACCAGTTTCCAAAACCATCCTCTTTCATGCTAACGCCCCCACTCCTGACTACTTGGGAATTGTTGAGAGAGTCATCGGGCCCTCGATTAGGAGTGCCACCGATGCCGGAGTATGGAAAAGCATAAGAAGAGCCAGAAGGCGATGCTGGGGTGAAAGTGAAAGTGTTGTTGTATCCCGCGTTGGCAAGAGCCGTGTTAGTGGAGTATAAAGGCGTCCTGCCGTCGTTTGGAGGCGCCGGAGGCGCGCGCGAAGGGGTCAACGAGGCCGCCGTGACCTGATGATAAGACATGGTTCCAGAGACGAGGAGATCCGGTGTCAACGTCTAGAGGTCCAGTTCTCTTGCCTGGTTGTGATACGTGGATTCCAAGGTCGGATTGGCGATCAGAGAGAGGCTCTGACTCGCAGGGGCGGCAAGGATCGTTCAGACGAGGGGTATAAAGGGGGTTGTCGTCGCGATGGTCGTTGTCGTCGTCGATGATGAAGATGATGAGCAACGCTCAAGGTCAGCAGGAAATCTGTGGCTCGTCGACTTCTGAGACGTAAATCGTCTTGTTTGCGGACGCATCGCCACTGGTCGGATCTATCCGTCGCTCCTTCATCGTGAACAAGCAATCGTCAAGGAAACTCAAATTCAATCGAAGCCAAAATATTCTAAGGAAATTGGAATGCTTCACTCCACCACGACATCGAATTCTTGGGACTTTCGCGGCAAGCCGAAGGAGCTCGCAACTCATTTTCACCCAGAATTTCATAGGGATGAAATTCAACGCTTTGTCAGATGTCTGCATTTGTCGCCCATCGTGCAAGAGGGTATGATATTCCATTCTCAAAGGGAAGGTGAGTCGTGACCGACCCACATGTGATGGACCACTAAATAATGTCCTTTCAAGTTGCCTAACCGAGGCGTTCCACTCAACGCATAATGTTCCTGAAGCTCTGTACCGTTCGGTCGAGAAGCTGGGTTTCCTTTGTAAGTCTTCATTCTGCTAACTCTTAGGTCGACGAATATTTCGCGCCATCTACTCCAAGTCCCTTGCGCGCCTTCTGGCGTCTGACGATGCAATTACTCCTATCAGCCGAGTGGGTGCAACCCAATCTATCCCATTCGCCGGAAACTGATGAACTTGATGGACAAAAATACTCGTGCGCTCAAAGCATTAAGTTGTCGAATAACAATTGCCGCCGCCGCGAACGTTTCTCGCGCAGACAATCACCTGACCTCGAACAATATTATACGGTATACCATTTCAAAACTACATCATGACACGATAGCGGTCTATAAAGCGGGTTTACGATCACCAGCGATTACCAGCAGCGCTTTCAACTTTGAAGACCGAACGGCGAAGCGCCCGCAGAATGAATTGATGCGGCAGGATGTCAAGACCACCCGTTCGATCATCGAAGTCACAGGACGTCGACGATGTATATGGAGCAGAAGGGTTGCTCAACTCACAGAAAAACGATCGGGGCTGAGAATAATCTATGTAGGAGGTCATTGCAGTTTATATTGGCCCAGCAAGGCCCAGCACAAATTATGTATTGGCCAAGAAAGATGTCTTGATAGACAAAAGTTGTATTTAGAAACGGGCCCTCGAAGAAAGTAACAAAACAAAGCCGAGCATTGTATTGGTTCTATGTCGGCTAAATACCCTACTTGACGGTTAATAGTTATATTTTTAGAGACAAGGACGGTATCCAACAGGTAAAATGGGCAAACTGTCGACAGCTAAGCCTTATTAGGTTTATTTTCGGCGTCTGGAATGGCGGGGTGACTTGCACGAGCTTGGAGGTCGACGAGGATATCGCGCAAACCGTTGTGAGGAGGATCCGCAAGAACGAAGAGAGGCGTATCATTAGGACGACGCAGCCTTACCAGAATCAATACCTTCCCACAGGCTATAAGTGATACTTGCCTTCCTCCGCATGCACAATTCCTCCATAGAGGTGTCACCAACCGAGCAAGAGGTTCTAGACCCGAACCAGCCTCCTTGGCAGAACCGTAATTGCGAGGAACTGGAGTGGACGGAATCGAAGGCAACTGTTAGTTCCGTCATACGGGACAAGTTGATGACGCTTTAAGATTTTATCATGTGATCACACCGACTGGTGTCGAGACTGACTCCAGTGAAAAGATTCAGTGGAGTACAGTCAGGGTCTTGAACATGTGGACCACATCCAGAATGCCGCCCTCCGACACTGGGAACTGCCAACCTGCACTAGAGTTCAAGATACCCACCCTGCAGAAAAAAGAAGTGGAAGAGCAAGTGGCAGTTCAACCTCTGGACCCAGGGTAAAACTGAAGTCGAGGAACGGTTATGGTAAACGGTCCCATGACAAAGAACCACGGCACAAGTAGCAGGGAGCAATGCTAAAACGTGGGGCCAGAATGCGAAGTCTTGTAACGGGATGGGATGGGGCCAAAAGCCGTAAGATAACGCGTTGTGCAATGTGCGCAGGTCCCCGCTCAGATTAAGTAGCCAGATTGATGTGAGGAAGCAAAAGGTTAGCCGACGACCCCATTATCGATTTGTTACGAAGGAGGCATTACTACTTCGTCCCCGCTGATCCTCGATTATACTCGTCGAGAGTCTGGGCAAGGATAAGGAGTCCAGCGGACGCCAAACAGAATGATCGAGTAAGGCGTTGATGGGACATAAGTCAACTATACAAATTCCATTGATCGATATCGACCAATGCCACTGTCACATTCTATTGGCGAATGGATTGCCGTGTCATGAGCCAGCTGTAGTGAGTTGCAGGTTCTCGACGTCGAAGAACGACAGATGGCCTCTTGATCCAAAGGCTCTCTGGCGCGTCTCTCAGAAGAGTGTAAGATCTTCAAGCAGATGGATACCCGCGAATGGTGGCCGGCCGGAACTCGGGAAATACAGATAGCATAAATATAAGCCAAGACAGTTCTACGACCTCTTAGTAGCTCTAACCAATCAGTGTTAGGAGTAGAAGAGAGCCAGTGGGAAGAAGGACGCACCTGTATGTAAACCTCTTCTTTGTATGCGAGAATTCTCCGAGTTTGTGCCCAACCATGTCCTGCGTCACATTTACTGGAATGTAGTCTTTCCCATTGTGTACCATGAAGCGAATTCTGAAACAAAAAAATTGTAAGGAGAATAGAACAGTGATCGTTGACACCCATACCCCACGAAATTGGGCAAAATCGTACACGACCTGGCCTGCGTCTTGATCGGCACATGGTTCGTCAATGCCTCTCGCAGATTGGGAAAGGCAACGAAGTAAGGACCTAGAGTAATGAGTATAACAAGCTCTAGCGGCAAAAAGAGGGTATTCACCTTTCCAAGCCGATCGTCCTTTCTGCAGAAGTTGTGTTGGACGCATTACGATTGCGAAGTAAAGATTTGTTGGCAAGTGCGGGATCAATATGAGCGTGACTGAGATTTTCGTGACTTCTCGGCAAGCAAGTGTAAACAACAATCCCTCTCAACTACCGGTGTAATGGATTCCTTTTGGAGCTGCCCCGCCTCCTCAGTTTTGCTGCTAGACCTCTACCCACCCTTTAAAAAATTATCTGAATAACGTCCAGGACCAAGGACGTCACAGATCTCCACATTACTTACTCAAGGGACGATGATACTTGACAGAAGACAACCCCGCTTGCTCGACTTTCGGGCACCTCATGCTTCTCCTTATTCTATCGAAATCAAATCCAGGCAAAACCCTGATTCTACAACAAATATGCCCAACCCTTTGACGTCTGGCAACAGCAACAATCAATTGAAGGTAAGCCCTGCCTTTGGCATCGTCGATCACCTTCTCACAAACCAAGCAGACTGTTATTGTGTTTGTTATGTTGGCCGTCGCACTTCTTGGCCTTGCGACGTTTGTCATCCGACGGTCAGTGCTCGTCTCCTCTGTCATCTTCATGTCGCTGCCATTTTGAATTCCTTTCAGATTTCGAAACAAACGACCCGTCACTACGAATCATTTTTTCAATGTCGGCCAACATTACTCTGCGTTCCTGCCACCTAGCGGTCCCTCGATTTCTTATCCTATAGCTACCGGCATGCCGCCACTCCTTCCCAGAAGCTTTCCCCTCAATCGACATCCAGAACCCCGTCACACAGCCGTCCCTGCCGTATATTTAGGAAGCGGGCAGCATATTAATTCTGCATATGTATCTGATGGCTGGCGTATGATTGAAAGTCTGAGGTTGTCCCCACACGTCAGGCTGGGAGACAAAGACGCCCTTCCAGCGTACGATAAAACTGGTGGCCCGCCCAATTACGTCGATTTGAATGCTATGCCAATCCAGCCGGTTCCGCCACAGTGCGACGGGCGAATATCTCCGCCGGAAGCGCATGATCCTACTCAAGAGCGGGATCTAGCGAATATTTCCGGAACAGAGGGGGAAGGGGAGGGAACACAGAGCAATATCGAACAACACATTGATCCTCTGCCAACGTCTTCATCGACTACTGAGGAGCCTCCCCCCACTTATCCAGCGCAGATGCAACCGGTCCTCCTGGTGTAGCGACCGATTGAAAGTTGTTGTAACATGTAATATAACCCCCTCCTCAGTTTTTGTTCGCGCATTTCGCATGGTATCACGTACTTGCGTAGAATACCATGTCAAATTTATTTTGAGATTTCTACTGTGCATCATCTATCTGAGAATTAGCAGTAGATAGACTCCGACCCCGGTACCGAAGTCAGGAGCACCTTATCTCTCGGTGTGCGTAGTGCACGTTCAAGGTAATTTTTAGGGGGGTTGTCCCTCTAATTCTAGATTTTCCGAGGATCCAAAAATAAGGCTAGTTCCTCGGTACCATAGCTAGTACCGTCTTCCTTTGGGGTGAGTGAATGTTTCCAAGTGCTTCATGCGGCGCGCACAAATGAAGATTAACAGTTCAAGCACCATTGTCCCGAGTTGCCGACGTTGCTGTAATCAAATTTAAAGCACGTTCGCGTCACCAATGTTGCGATACCACCGGTCCTTGGAAGCTGTTAGTTGCGACCATCAATCTTGTTATAACTTATACTTAGTAAACTCTCGAGGGAAAAATTTCAGGTAGTTAGATGTTCTTGACGGTAATGGCCATAACGTAACCCATCTTATCTTTCAAATTTTTTGGAACCCATACAGCCCGTTGTAAAAAGTCGAATTGTGTTGGAGGGAAATCTCGGGGAAACCATCCAGGCTTGGGCGGAAGATGTGAGAAAATTCTTAAATGCTGTTATTGTTTTTGACACCTCGCGTGTATATCCTCCGGCTTAGCCGCTGATTTTCTGAAGGCTTGGGAGTGGTCGCAAGTGGCGATGAGAGCACACAATAGTGTTTCCGTGGGAAAATGTCATCCCTGTACTCACAGGGTCCAAGCAAGATTGTCCAAGTCGACGTCAGTAACCATCGACACCAGTGTCAGCCGATCTAATTGTTCAATTTAGACATGCGAAACTGCGTGACGATATAAAGTGCGCGTCAAAGCAATCCTTCGAAGTTCATTATCCTCCTACACAAATCGCCCCGACCTTCACCCGCGGCTAGCCCGCCTCTTCGCTCTAACGTTGAAAAATCTATCTCGGTCATCGACGATGGACGCGTTTGTTACGCTTACGACCATTTTTAGCCTCGCTTTGCCTGCAGCTGCTGAAGCCAAGGAGGATACAGACAAGGGTTTGGAGGTTGCCGACTTTGAGCACCAGGGACCGGGACAATATGCTTGGTGCACTGTTGCGTGATTATCGTGTCTACGGTATTCCCAGTCTCAATTTTCTCGGGGGGGATGAACTCAATCAATTTTCAAAGACTTTGGTGATTTGTGTTTCTTCCCATCGAGCACAAGCACTGTTTGATCAAAGCACTCCATCATCTATGGTCTGGTAAAGCTGCTCCTCTCTCCAAAATGAGCTACGGAACTTTTACAGTCTACCCACAGATTTATTTTTTGGTTAAAATGTGCCATTCCCGTGTACTTCATTCATTAAATTGCGCCGCGCGCTGGACATTCCAATTCAACGATAACGCCGTACATGTAACCTTACGACTTCTTACGACCAGTATCATAAGTTTAGTGTACTAGTAATCTAGGGCGTATCAACCATATTTTCGCTTCAAGTACTCGAAATTTGTCTGATTTGTCGGAGGGGCGAAAGTAATGTCGCAATATTTCGGAGTCAACGCCTGAAGATATCGTCCATGTCACTGCGGGCCTTGGCTTATATATATACTGGGTGTAATGTGGAAAAATGCGGAAGATATTAATAATAATGCTCCCTTTAAACTGCCGGAATTACTTGGAAGATATTTAAAATCTTTTATCTCATTTTATCGATTTTTTTCCGTCGGAATTATTAAGAATATCCTGGGGTGGATAAACGTCGAAGATATTGGAGAGGAAATTTCTACAAAAGGCAAGTCCATACATGCGCAGCAAATATGTGGAAGATATGTTAATACCACGAGGTGAAGAAACTTCTTAATATAGCAGTATCTTCGGATCTAACACTTGCTTAATAAGGCTATTTGCTGTTGACACCACTTGCTCCATCCACGGCGTCATCAAAGCATACAACGACGAACTCGGACTCTACTCCTCAACGTTACAAAGCTCAATGGAGACGGGAATGCGCCCACACATGACAGTCAGTAGCACACTATTGTTTTCTGCTAACAAAAGTCATAGATTTCGTTCTACTACATACAGGGGATTATACCAACACGCAAAAGGAAGCACAAGATGACGAAAACACATAAACGGAGAGTCGACATGCGATCTAACGCATAAGCACCATCAGAAGGACACGGAATTGTGAGAAACAAACGTATATGCTACGGACAGCAGCTGGTGTTTCGTGTTTACGAGCTGGAATGTGGGTTGTGAACCAAAGGTAAGTACTCACATTGCTTTGTTCATCCTGCACAATACTGACGGCTGTGATCATTTCCAAGCACTCGGCACCCGCATGGAGCATCCTGGCTGCATGCACTGGTTTTTTGGATAGAGATACGTCGTCTCGAGGTGGACTCCAAATTATGATGGAGAACATTCACTCCAAGACCTACTACGAGCCTAAAGAATACACGAGAAGACGATACCAGGTAAACGATCGCAAGAAGATGAACAAGATAACGATAACGCTCACACCAAGGCCCACGTGTAAACATTGTTGGAAGGGTGCGGGAGTGCAGGGAACAGATGGATATACGGAGAGGTGGCATGTCGCATTTACGAGCTGCGATAGGGTCGTGAGGGATGGGAGAAGGTGAGTTCTTACCTTCCTTTGTTCCTGCTGCACAATACTAACGCCTGTGCTCGTTTTCAAGCGCATCGTCGATGTGTTGACAGTTTCTCGCTATGTGAGTACCCAATTATCCTTTACACGTGTTTTCACCTAATCAAAGTCCATATTGTTCGTTGTACTACCTACTACGAACCGAAACGGTACATGAGAAGATGATACCGCGTAAACGAAGACTCGACATTGAAATCTAATGCGTACACGCCGCCAGGAGGGCACGGGAGTACGGGGAGCGGATGGATATGCTACGGAAAGGCGGCATTTCGCATGGAGAAGTTGGGAGAGGTCATGAGCTGTGGAAAGGCAACGAAAAGTGAGTACTTACATCGTACAGGATGTCATGCACAACATTGACGAACCGTGGTCATTTCAAAGCATGCGTGGAGCGTTCTGGACTGTATGCACCGGTTCTGCAGATGGAAATACGTTGTCTCGATGTTGGAAACGAGTAAAAGCGACGTCTTGCACTCACTATGGATGGATAAACAGAACCAGGACACGTTAAACGACGAGGTATGTCAGTTTGACTCTGTAGGTTATTCTGACACTAACATACCTTCGTAGATTAGACTTCAATGTTTCGCAATACTTCCAAAGACGGGATTGAACACCTACGTGAAGATTGTAAGTCAAGACGTTGACGTCAAACGAAATATTAGTGAAATACCTTTGCAGAACTTACATACCCGACGACGATAAGTCGGGCCAATGGCACGAGGAACATCAAGAGAATACGTCAATGTTTGCAGCAGCTGGAACGATGAGGCATCGTATACCCGTGTCCGATGTATACAACATCAAAGGAAACCACGGAGGGCCAGGAAGTAAGATTTCATTCTGCTATGTACAAAAAATCGTAACGACACACCTAAAGACGAACAACACAACAATAAAACATACGTGAAGGTGCAACAGCCAAAATTGACGCGTGAACACTAGAAAGGACGGAATCGCGAAAACCAACGTCGCCTGAGGACGGGTATACACTATGGACAGCGAGCGCTTCGTGTTTACGAGTGGGATAGGGTTGTGAGAGATAAAGTGAGTACTTATTTTATTTCGTTCATCCCACACAATACCGATCGCATGCTATACATGGATCTCTCACCGGCATCTAGACACAGCAAGCTTCCCTATCCGCTCTCATGTGTCCAAAACGTTGGGAAAATGGGCGGGATTTCCTTCAAAAAATGAGCATAAGTATAAACCCTCCAACTACAAAAATCTGAGCACGTACTAACTGTCTTCAATCAGTTTTACAAATGTTCGGGGTGCTATGCACCCCTTGCGGCCACCCTAAACGACGACGAGCGCTGTAGAGCCAACGGATCCACTCGCCGCGGGGCCGAGACATCGGAAAAAATGGCCACAAATTAAATCTTCAAAAAGCACAGTTTGAGTGGCAGGCGTCGACTAATGCAACGTAAATGTGTGCTTCCCATGATTTAGTGTGCTCGAGGTACTACGCACCTCGAGCACTTGCCGTAAATGGCGACGGGCAAGAATGCATGCATACGACATTGGGCACAGCACGGCCTCAAACTAATAGCTGGGGGGTCCGCTCGCCGTGGGGCCGAAACCTCAATAAAACCAGGCGCAAACCTTCGAAAAACAAGGTGTAAGTGCGTATTTTGATTACCATAGCATAGGTGTGTACTGACCTTTGTTTGGCAGTCAGTCATCCGAATGCGTGGCGCGGACACCGTAGACCACTGCAAAGATGTGGTCTGTGCGTGCAAGAGGTAAGTTGACAAAAGATTAGAATGCTTAAGACACTTACTGATGGATGGG